CCTTTTTGCCATCACTATAAATCTGTTTTCATAAACAAAATTAAGTGCACTGTGTTTATTCATTAGGGAGATTTGAAGTCAGATGTCTCTCAGCAACCAAGGAAAATGCTTCACGGGATGAATCTCCCCTACTTCCCCCCTCCTTTTCTCTTTCTACAGCAGAACAAAACCACCATGGGATGCTGCCCTGATCTGTCGGCGGCTCTGTGCGCACTGCGGTGCTGCTGAGAGCAGCACTGAGTGCTCCGCTGGGCCCATCAGAGCCACTGCTCCAGACATGGTGCTCAGAGATATGAAGAGATGGGCAGGAAGAAATGGCTTTAAGCTGCTCCATGTAGGCACAGTGCAGCTGAGGGCTCCCAGCTCGCCAGGCAGAGCAGAGCCACCCTTAGCCCATGTGACAGATGTAAGGTTGTCTGGGGCTGCAGCTGTAGGGGGACAAAACTTCTGGGCTCTCATAGAGGATACGTGCAAAGGAAAGCAGGAACCGAGAGATGGTGTGGAGGCAGAATTCAATTAAACTAATTAATAGATATGCCCCTGTAATTCATGCAAGTTTTAACTCCAGCGCCTCGGTTCTGCATCTTGGACAGCTGTAGTGTTGCAGAGAAATGCAAAATGCTGAGTTCTGGAGCATCATTAAGACATAAATACTCATTGAAGCTTGTATGGGAACTGTTGAGTCCCAGCCTGAACCACTGATTGAGCACCTGGGGAAAGGACCTGGTCAGCCATGGCAGCACAGGTGAAGGCAGTTCAGCTGAGTGGAAGGGGTGGAGTCTGGCTGCACCTCTCTTAGACCTCATTTAAAGGCTGACTGCAGTGGGGAAGGGCCTCTGGTTGGAGATTCCTCCTTTGTGGAGTCCTTTCTGCACGCTGAGATCTTCAGAGACCGGTGAGCACCTTTACTTTTCTCATGAAATACCATCCTATCTGTGCTGGTCCTTTTGCTGTTACATTCCTGTACTGCCCTTCCACCCTGTTAATCTTTCAAATTGTAACAAAGCTGGAGGAAATGAACTGGATCAGAATGAGCAGATCAGTACAGGGATGTGTTCTGTTCACATCAACCTGGTCACACAGGTTGACTCCCTTATGTATGTTGCCTGTTACTGTGCTTTTCAGAGTCCTGCTTTGATGGAGTACCACTGCTCCTCGCAAACTTGGTTTGCGCTATAGAATCCGAATCGGGGATTGCAAAGCATCCCCTGTCTTGAGCTCGCGCTTCTGTTCAGATTGCTTTAATCCTGCAGAGCAGAATTTGGCAGAAGAAGAAACCCCCAAAGCAGCAGTGAGCAGCAGGTATAATGTCGGCACACTGGGAGAGGAACCTCATCCCTTAAAGATGAGATCTGGGGCTGAACACTGATTGACAAGACCACATTATCACAGAGTGGAAAGCAGGCCTTGAATATCTGCTCCTAACAACTCCCCAGTGCCGTCTTTTTAGCATGCAAATTTTGTACCCATTGAAGAGGAAATAAATGTGGAATTTGCTGCCTTTGCAGCAAATGTAGGAGGAGGTATTTTGGCCAGTCCTGAAATCCCACTTTCTACCACATACCACAAGTGAATACCTCTCACTTTTACTTTTGAGGGAGCCATAAATCAGGAACAAAGGACAGCAGAATAACAGGGTTGTGTTTCTCCTTCTCTGCACCAGGTACCTGGTGCCAACAGCAACAGTGTGAACATGAGCAGTGGTTCCTGTGCCAGGCCATTGTAGGGGCCGGCAGTGTGGCAGCTGCTCACCTTTCAGTGCCCGGAACCAGCCCACATTTGCCAGCCTCCAGTCTTCCACTGGGACTGTTCCTCAGTACAGGATGGTTGCAGCCTACCAGAACTTCGTGAATCTGTGCATTTGCAGCCCAGAAGGCCGACAGCACTGTGGGCTGCATTAACGGAGGGCTGGCAGTGGGCAGGGAGGGATCATCCCCTTTAGCTCTGCCCTTGTGAGGCCCCATCTGGAGCACTGTGTCCAGGCCTGGGCCCCCAGCGCAGAGAGATGTGGGGCTGCTGCAGCAGGGCTGCAGGAGGGCATGGGGATGCTCAAAGGCTGGAGTTCTTCTGCCATGGAGACAGGTTGAGGGAACTGGGGGTGTTCAATCTGTGGAAGGGAAGCTTCCAGTGAGACCTCACTGCAGCCTTCCACTGCTTAAAAGGAGGGAGACTGACTTTTTACAAGGGCTGATGGTGACAGGACAGCAGAGGGGCCGTTGTCTGCACCCATCCTTCCCATGCTGGCATTCAGCAGCTGCAGTGGTGCCTGGCAGTGCCCCCAGCTGCTGCTGGTACAGTTTTCCCATCTGTGAAATGGGGCTGTTGGCTGATGGGAGTGTGAGTGCTGGGAAAGTTGGGATGTCACCCACTGCCACAGCAGCTGTGCAAACACCGGTTTAATAAAGAGCTGCTGCAGCTCTTAATTCCTATTTTATAATAGGAGAGGCATCACCCACTGTGATGGCTGGCTGTACGAAACACAGCAGCAGAGCTCAGCCCGGGGAAGCCCTCAGTTTTCTTAGCAGGGAACCGAGCGGTGCGCGGCGGTCCGAGCTGCGCGGAGGGCAGAAAAACGCGGCTTTGCACACAACATAGCGGGCACAGCCACGACCTTCTGCTCCTGGCAGTGCGAGAGCCGGGGAAGGAGGGCTGGGAACCGCGGCGGGGCCACGGGAGCGGAGCGGGGCGGTGCGGGAGCTGCCCTGCAGGTGGCAGCGAGGCTCCGCTCCGCACGCGGCCGCCGCAGCGCCCCGTGTTCTCTTCTCGCTTAGAAGCAGCACCTGAAGAGCCTCTTCGGCGCAGGCAGCGCTTCGGCCCCCGCCCGCGGCGCAGAGGGAGCGGTGCCGTTGTGAGGCGCAGCGTTAGCGATCCCTTCCCGTAAGGAAGAGTAGAAAATGTAAGATGTGTGGGCACGGCTCAGTTGCGTGTATTCCTCCCATTTATTTCTTATGTTATGTGGCCTTTTTTAAAGGTAAGTGAAGCCAAAATGCTTTCTTGCAGTGCTGTGTGTAGGTGGGCAGTGAGGATCCTGATTTGCAGAATTGTTTTAGAATTGGAAAACTGAAAAACAGTAGGAAAGGCACTTTGCTGCTAATGCCAGTCTGAGCTGCATGGCGGCCACTGCAACTCAAAGGAAAGGCTCTCTGTGTCCTTCGCCTTCCCTTCAGCAAATCCTAACGTGAAAGCCAAGAAATTAAACAGCTGCTGGCCTCGGATTTCAGCGCTCCTCCGTGCCGTCCCCATCAGCCTCCCAGGGAGGTCTTCGTGGCTCTCACAGCTTCCAGCAGCGTTACAAAAAGCGACCATGAGAAATTTTCTTGGGCAGACAGAAAGCCTCTGGACCCTTCATGTCAGCAGCTTCCATCCCCAGCACACACCTGGGGGAGGGTCACAGCAGGGAGCTCGGTATCACCGAGTGCCAAAAGGAACCGCCACTTCTGCCCTTTTAGCTGGGTTTCTCTGGAAACTGACACGCTCTGAGTCTCAGCCCCACTCAATAAGCTCAGGCCTCTGAGCCTGCTTCATTCAAAAGCCACGGTAAGCTCTGGGTGTTGAGGCCATCAGGCTGCAGTGCACAAACAGATCAGTGTCCGTGCATCTGCAAAGCACAGGCAATGCCTGTGCTCCATGCACTGCTGTGTGCTGCCTGGCTGAGCAGGGCCAGGGGCAGGACAGGTGGATGGCTGCGCACTGCTTCCCAGCAGCCACCTGAAGGAGACAGTGGTGATGCTTTTAGAAAAGAATCTGGCATGAAGCTGAAGGGCAGCTTCTAAAATTGAGTAAATTGCATCCGTATTTAAAAAAACAAAGGAACCTACTTGTAAATTGTGTATTTACACAATTGAGCACGCGAACAAGCGAGTCCTCATACGAAACCCAGATGTTCATTAGAAACGTGAGTTGGTCTCCTTTGCTGCTACCACAAGAAGTAAAATGGGAAAAAAGTCAGCTGTGTTGAAGGGGCATAAAGGAGTGAGTAAAACCTACAGAATCCAGGAAATTTCCTGTTGAGGCTAAAAATCTGGGGTACCATTGCAGTCTTTTCATTTGGACCCAAGATATAAATTAAAGCCAGAGCATCAGCTCAGGTGCTCAAGTTCTCAGCCCTTAGCTGTGGAATTTCCAGGTTAAGTTACTTAAATTTTCCTGTTGCTGAATAAAGCTAAAATCCTGTGTGCTGTATATTTGCTCATCATAAAATGTTCTCCCCCAGCCAGTAACAGCTTCTTTGCTGGCAAAGCCTTCCTGGTTTATGAGCTTCCCAGCCTTTGTATGGAGCACTGCGAGTTAAGAACTTCCACATGGCTCTTTCTCTGAGGCTTCTGTGAATAAGCAAAGCAAAGTACTTGCTCCATGTCCAACAAATGCATCAAATATGGTTTGAAATCTCTGTTTTTAAATGCAAAGGATAATATTGATTTTGTTAAGGTAAATGTCTTTAATTGTATGCTGTATAAACTCAACTCTTACTGAGACATAATGGGCTCTGGGCATCCTTCCAGAGGTACGAAAATGCATCTTTAAGTGTCTCCAGTAGAGAAATGCGGAACAAAGATTTAGATGAAGAAAAATTAAAGAGAGCACATCCCTGTCTCCAAAAACCATATACTGCTGGGGAAGGGCATTTACTCGTTATTATGAATGAATGCTGTAATGAGAGGGAAGCCCTGCAGAGTGCCTGTTGGTGGGGATTGTCTGCTGCTTTTTGCTGGGGTGGCAGTGAGGGATAGGGAATGAAATGAGAGAAAGCAGACAATACCAGCAAATGAAGAAGTTCATTGAGGTATCGCTGTGTGAATTAAACTCATCTACAGAAATGGAATGGGATCTCAATTCAAGGGGATGCCAGGCATCTCATTTCCAAGGAAGCACTGCGTGCTCTGAGAGCCTTACGTGTCATTGTATTCTGGGGGGAGATGGGGACACGTCTGGGGATCACCCCCTCAGTATTTGTTTGTCAAGGGAGAGAAAGGTGTTTAAGAACACACCAAACGCTCGTGCAGCAGATGATATCCTCTCATTTATTGCTAAACTACCACAGTACAGGCAATATATAAAAATATTTTACAGACGATAGCAAAAAATTACATTGGAGGTTAACCATGTTGTTGTAGGAATGTAAATGATATGAACTCTTTTTCAGTTCTTAAAGTTAGGCTTTTGAACAAACAATTTGATTGAAAAGACATCTGCTAGAATGATCTGAGAGATGATTGCTTTCTTACATGTATATCTGCTCACAGGGCTTTGCCTGGGCACAGAGAGTGTCTGCAAGGAGACCTGGGTGTCCTGAGCCAGGGGAACACAGCATCATCTCACACACACACAGGTCCCAGCCAGGACAGCAGTGCCCCTGTCTGGTACCTGGCTGTGCCTCCCAGCTCTCACCACGCTGCTGTGCACAGGGGCTGGCAGCACTGCCACAACAGCAGCACTTCAGTCCTTGCAGCTCTGGAGGAACGGCTGCTCATCCCACCAGCACACAGCTGGTGACACGGAACGTTATTCATTTGGTGACTCAGCCATTCTAGAGCTTTCTTCCCCATTTGGCTGTTTTAAGTGAGTTACTGGAAAGAAACACAAACTTTTTCCCCAGGTTCCACTCATTTGATCTATTAGAATGTCAGCATCTTCACTTCCAGTTTGCACTGCGATGCTGGTTTGGTCCCAATTTATTTATTTCTGTATACCAGGAACAAGGAAAATGGCAAAACAAACGGCCCTTAGACCAGATGGGTTTGATACTGAGTGGTTGTTAAAGGAATTCCTACCGACTGTCACCTGCTGCACTGATAAAAGTAGCAGATGAGAAAGACAGATGCCAGCGTCCAAAAAGCTGGATTACTCATTTGAACTGAGATGAATGAAGGGTTGTCACCCCCGTGTCACAGCGGGCACTGTGGGATGGAATCAGCGTGATGTAAACAATGAGGAAAACAGTCAATTTCTGGGGAATCTGCAGTTCACCCAAATGTCATGTGAATAACCCAGAGAACTGCAGGTAAATGGGAACACCAGGTGATTTCATGTGGTGTAAGCTTTATGAAGATGTGAATCAATTCAAAATCTGAAAATAAGATGAGAGTCATTTTCTTGAATCCCACCTGGCAGATAATTGTTCTCTATTAGAGAGCAATTTGGACAGATATGGGGACAAAAAGATTGAAATATTTAGAAACACGCTTTGAAAGTGTTTAAAGCTGTCTTTGAAGTCTTTGGAAAATGGATCAAATACGACTTTTGGGGGCAATAACAATTCCACAACAATTGCATAGAAAATTAATGCACATCAACAAATGAAGATCCATCCTTTATAAATACGATCCTTAATCCAAAAGGCGTTGCATATTTGGCCAGACCAAAAGCATAGACACTTTTTTTGGTAAAGATACGGATTACAAAATACATTTTAAAAACATGCTAGCTAGTTTGAGAACTGTTTTAGATACGTTATCAAGCAGCAGCATTTTATACAATAGAGAATAACATAGTGCTGTTTTTGGAAATATTCTACATTCAGAAAATGCTGTATCCCTACAAGAAGAATGGAAGTGATACATATTTACATGGATACAAATAAAGCAAGTGCAAAACCCATGGCTCTTCTACATTCTTTCTCCCAGTAACAACACGTACATTAGACACCTCCATCCCACCGCAGCTCAGATCTTCCACTTTGCTTATTCTCACGGAGAAAAACAAAACCGGGACCTCGTATTTCATTGCAAGTATCTTCACGAGCAATTCCTCTCCTGGCAAACTGTGCTTCCAACACTCGTAACTGACACAAAAACATCTCCCTGGTATCTGTCCACTCCCATTCCACTCTTAGACTGTTTACACATCGTGAACGATGGTTTTATTTTACGCATTCATATATTTGATGCAGACGTTTATAGAAGCTCATCCTGTACTTGCAGCCAAAGCTCGGATGGAAAAAACGAAGTAAAAAAATGCACACGCACAGAAAAAAAAAAAAGAGATGAACTTTGAGTTCCAATGAGCCCCACGTACTTCACATGGTATAACTTTGATGGAAAACGCATTAGAGTTGTACACCCTGCACACAAGGAGGCCTTTGGTACAATGGCAGGAAGGCACTGTGGTGAAACATTCAGATAACTGAGGAAAGACAGAATTTCCTCATGTGCAAATATGGCTATCTTCCAGATAAAGTGAGAACAAATTGCTCACAGAATGGCATTAACTCTTCCGAGGTTAATCTAATGCTTCTACAGAAAGAGAGCGAGGCGTGTTATGCCACAAGTATTAATACTGGAGGAACACTGCTCAGCGAGAACAGGAAATAATTTATACTGCATATTCTGAAGTTCTTCAGCCTAGCTATATATCTGTAACATATCTGTTTTCTTTTTAAAAAGAGACAACAACATATATCGCTATGTCTGAGGATACTCCTTCTCTCCAGAAATAAATATAAAGTGGTTAAAGCTGTTCTATGTAACTAATTTGATGTAGAAGCAGGTAAGAGTAGCACAGCCTGACCTGACGTAGCTGTAAATAAAACCACTAAAATTTAGTCTATATTATATACATCATAGGAACCCTCGCTCCAGCAGCTGGCTTTGTGTGGCAGCAGGTCTGCGTGGCTGCAGCCAGCTGTAGGACTGGTGTGTGTGGTCAGAGAGGAGCACAGATGGATGTGTACACATATATATATAACCATCTACACTCATGTGGTTACAGTATATAGGCAGACATGTATATGCCCCTACACTAACACACGTCCAGATTAGTATCTATGCCTTTAAAAAGGAGGAGGAGATACAGCTAGTGCAAGCATGAGTAAAGCACGTGTAGCATATATTAAATATATATATATAAACCCCTCTCCTGCTCTCCAAAGCAAACTGCAAAAAGAACAGCCCAGAGCAGCATCTGCCCTTCCCGTTCATGCTCAGGTAAGGGCACATCCTGCTCAGGAGCCCTGCAGGGCTCAGCTCAGCCTGCGTGGCTCCTGCTGTGGGCTCGCTGCCTTCTGTCAGGCTCCGTGCCTTCTTGTCTGCTTTACACGGTTATCCCTCAGAGCAACGAGGGGAGAAAGATATTTAAATGGTCACTGGGAGACAAAAAATGGCAATTAAAATCAGTCATCAGCACAAACACACGTAGTGCAACTCACGCTGCAGGGAGGGGGGATTCGGTGTGTGGGGTGTGAGTGAGGGCACGGCCATGGCCAGCTGCACTGACAGCCACCAGCAGAGCAGCAAGAGCTCCAGACTTGGAAAGAAGCTCACATTCTTTCGTATTTCATTTGAGATCCAGCAAAAGAAATGTCTCTGTCAGTTATTTGGGGACTTTGGTTTGCTCTGAATGGATTTTTGTTTTTACTTTTTCATTTCTCCTGTCTTACCCTTACAGGCTGGATCAGGGAAAACAAAATGGCCATTTCTGGTACTTCCAAGCCAAGAGACCCGTTTGGGCTCTCCTTTTGCTCAGCTGCAGTAAAGAATTTCTGACAGGCAACTGTTGGCATTAGCAAGTTTTCAAAATGAAAAATCCATTAAAACGCATTAAAAACACATAATGGATGGTAGATTCCAACAATATGGCAGGTAAAAACAATTGAAAAAGTAGCTCATCTGAGGTGTGTGAACCAGCCGAAGTGCTGTGCAGTATAAATGCTGTTTAACAATAACTGAACTATGCAGAAGGCACCGCAGCCTCTGTTTTATTCCTGCAGAAGTCTGGGATTGGTGCAAGCATCCTTCTTGCAGTACTGGGGAACAAACCAGGCAGCTGCTCTGCTGGTCTTCAATATTCATATGACCCAGAGGCTGCTGTGACACGTGGGCACACTGCTGAAGTCTGCTGTGAAGCAGCTGAGAACAGGGCAGGTTTGCTGTGTTTTGTACAACGAGCTCAGGCTCAGTGCCCGTAACAGCGCAGCTTTCCTCACTCACAAACCACTGCTGCCCACGGTGCGGCAGCCTCTTACTGCAGAGATCAGCCCCTCCAGGTGTGCTTTCGTCCCACCGGGGCACCACAGATGCACTGATACGTTACGAACTTGCCAGCTGTACGGCTGCAGGCTGCAGGTAGCTCTTATCATGACAAGCATTTGTCAGTACACTGCACTCAAACACACAAAGCAAAGCACTACATGCTATCTCACATGGAATTTTAACCTTCCCAGAAGCTGCTGGTAGCTTTGCAGTGCCAAAGAGACAGACTACCTACAAGTGTATACTTTTTCTGGAATATACAGCTTCTGTGAAATGCAATTATTTTCCTCTGCAGCTTGTGTGGTTAAACATTACAGCTGCTATGAGACAAGGTACCAGCCAACAGCGGGCTCTGCGTGAGAAGGAGAAACAGCAGCAATTTATTATGGAGAAAATATGTAAGATGCGTTCGTACACTGCCTAAATGAGGATGGGTCATAGAATATTTGGGTTTACTGTGACTCCTATACATTCATCTCTGTTTACGTGGGTTTCATTACCTTGAGATAGGTGTAACAGCTGCTGAACTGCTCTTTTCACTGGCTCTCCAGAGCATCCTTCTCCATCAAATCCCTGTTCATTCTGACAAGAAAAAATGGAGAAAACTCCCGGATTCTGTTGACATCTACTGCTTGAAATACTGATCACGGTGCTCAGGGTCAGAAAATACAACTTCTGCTCCCAGACTGGATAAAGGCAGAGTGAGCTTGAGCTGCCTCAGTTTCCTACAACAGAATTTTTCAGAAGGGCTTTGCGACCTGGAAGGCAAGTCACTGTTAGTGAGCTGCACAGCGCTGCTGCTCCTTCACGGAATATATTACTCTTTCTTCCCTTGTTCCCCACCCCACCCCAATAAAGACTAATATATAACCTCCCCTGCTTTGCGTGGCGTTCAGGAGTGCCATCTTACTTCTCCCTTATTCTGAGATAGATGCATCGATACACAGCTAGATTTTTGCAGCAGGCTTGAAGTGTTTCCTCAGACAGATGCTCTGTTACATGAGAACAATGCGATCTTTGGACGAAAGGAAGGGTGCCCTTTTCCATGTTTACAGAGAGAGGTGGCGAGTTGCTTAGTCAAGGCTGTCAGCTTGATGCCAATACATTGTTCCTTGCATTGAACTGGTGCCTTGAGATGAACAGTTAAGGAAGCAGGAGGTTGCAGGGGCACTGGAAGGATCTAAGAGGTCAGTTATGGAAGGATTTGGTAGAAGCTGTCTCACAAATCTTCTTCTATGTCTGATTTCTGGCAGGGAGTCCAGAAAATTCCTTCCTGATAATTTCGTTAACTGTGAAATAAAAGAAAGAGGAAGAGATGTTAAGAGCACTTCAAAGTCACGAGAAGTAAAAGCAGTCCTTGGGCAGTCCGCCGCTAATTCAGAACATCCTCTCTCTATTCTCACTGTAACTTTTTGATTGAAACTAAAAAAAAATGTTGGCCAAATAATCCATGCCGTGCACTTTTGGTAAGCAAGAGGGAAGGAGAGGAGAGAGGGGGCTGAGGCGGTGTTCAGCATGCTTCAAGTGCCACGAACACACAGCTGACAACCTGTCCCATGGCCCTGGCACACACTGCATCATCCCCTGTGCAGCACAGCCCTCCTTCACAGACAGCTCCAACCGAAATCCAGGTGTAAGCATCTGAACGTTTAGCATTGCTCTCTAGGATGAGATGAGAATATTCTGAGAAGGGCCTGACTTGGCGGAAATAAAGTGGGTAGTGCTGAAAAGACAGAGGCTGCAATTCAGCTGTTGGCTTTTTTGTGTTTCTTTTCGTTTGAAACACCTCACTGGTGTCTCTGTTTGGTCCACATTTTTGTTCTTGTTTGTTTGCAGGCTGCAGCAGAAACAAATTTCAATGCACTGCTCTAACAGTCTGAGAGGCTGGGACAGGCTTGTCAGTAAGGCTCAACAGAAGACACCGAATCACTTCATTCTCTGTTTAAAACAACCTGAACAACAGTGCCAGGTCCCTCGTAGCACCACCTTTCTATCTAGGCAGCAACTGTGTTAGGAGAGACCTAAAAGATGAGTGCTTTGGTGCCAAACTCCAGAACTGCCTGTTCTGGGGCTCTGTTTCCATGCAGCTCCTCAGTGCTGTATATATGGGGATCCTCCATTTGGAAACTGCTTATTTTCTCTGACAAATTTGTCTTAAAAAAATGAAAACAAAACCAACCAAACAAAAAAGGCCAAATTTTCTAAGGCTTCAGACTCCAAATCTAAATTATTTTTCCCATTGTTATTTCAATGCTAAGCCACAGACTAATTCAAAACAAAGCAACTTCTCGTCCAAGCCTGACTGACAGGTATGCAGCTGTCAGACTCCACAATTCTACAAATAAACAAGAAATGTTTATGCAAAGTGATAATTTATCACTAATATTGTGCCCAATCTCTTACTATCTCTGGGAGAGCACATGCAATAATTTGTAAGAGGTATGACTATTAGTTTGAAATCTCTCCATAAGCAATGGAACTTATCCCAGAAAAAAATAAAACATCTGCTTAATGTGAAGCTCCATGTTGCTGCTGTACACGTCTGCTGTGCCTGCCTGTACTCCTCACAGTCTGAGAGCTGCCCTGGTTTCTGCTGCACGCTGTGACACAAGGACGGCACCTTCCACCCTCTGCGCTCAAAAATCCCTGTGCAAACAGCCTGGACTTCAGCTCTTTCTCATTCCAGCCACGAGATGCCTGATTCCAACTAGTTGGTGCCTGCAGCAGAGCACACGTGCCAAGAACAGCCTGCCCTCTCCTCTGCCCAGCTTTCTGCTCCGCCCCAGCCGGCGGCGTGCAGCCGTGCGCACGAAGCACATCGCAGCAGTGCTCCGTGTGCTGCAGTGCAAGCGAGCAACCAGGGGGAGGTGAGGTTGGTCTACTTTCGGGCCCTCCTGCGGCTCAGTCAGCAGGGCTTCCTGTTTGCTCTACCCAGGAAATGAGAGGAGCAGGTCTTCAATGGAAATTTTTCAGCGTCTCAGCTAAAAATAGCAGTGAGGTAAAAGAAGTGGGCACCCACTCTCACAGGGTCATTTCCTTTCTAAAAACGAGTGGGCTGAGACTGCAGGGCGATTTATTTATTGACACGCCAGCGTTCCAAAAATGCTGTGCAAGTTTCCTTTCTTTCAATGCAGCCACGACTAATGGAAACATCAGAGCCAACAGTCATCTTGGTCTAAGAAGGGTTAAATATTAGATGAAGGTGCAGGTAATTAAGTGGCTTGCTAAGCCTTCCGCGGGGTCCCTTTTTGGTTCTGCTTCCCAGCCTGAGCGTGGTGTGAAGTGAAAGCAGCAGCAGCAGACCACGAGCCTGCTGAGTGCGGTCCAGCTCGCAGCCCCAGGCAGTGGGATGGTGCAGTGATGGCTGACCCAGCCTGCAGGCTTCACTTTCCCTCCTGCGTGCTGCACTGGGGGTCAGCGGCAGGTTTTGTGGGCTGAGGTTATAGAGGGACAGCAATCTGAAAAGAGCTCCAGTTGCAGCAGGACGGTGTGGAATGCAAACTCTGTGGATGTGCTGCAGGACCATGCTCAAGTGCACAGCTGGGTTCCTTCTGAGGGAGCTGTTGCAAGTTGCAAATGGGATTTTTGTTGTTTCTGAATGATAAGGTCAGTCCCTGTTATCAGTTGGCCTCAATGTCCTGTAGGCACCCTGAATTCCTGCTAAATCCATGTGGCATGGGAAAGAGGGGCAGTTAAGGCTGGGCAATGCTAGAGCTCCAAGGGAAGGCTGTGTAAATCCAGCAAGGAAAGTCCTGATTTACAACCAGAGCCCCTTAATCTAATGAATATATGCATGTTTGGAGAAATGTATTCCAAGACTGCTTGGAGTCACTACCACACAGTCTGGTGGCATCACCCATCTTCAGATTTTGGGAGCACATGGATCCAGACTGAGGTGTAATCTTAGTGACTTGGGTTTCAATAGCAGGGTAAACAAAACGAGCAAACTGAGATGTATCTACATTTCAGAGGAAGCTGAGATCATGCACTGGACTTGCTATTCTGAGATCCCATAGATCTCTTTTCAGTAGCATGGTTAAAATGTCTCTCAAGTGTAAGTTAGAATCACAGAATTTCTTGGGTTGGAAGGGACGTTAAAGCCCATCCATCCAGTTCCAATCTCTTGCCACAGGCTGGCAGCCACTGACCAGATCAGGCTGCTTAGGGCCCCATCCAGGCTGGCCTTGAATGCCTCCAGGGATGGGGCATCCACAGCTTCCCTGGGCAGCAGTGCCAGGGCCTCACTACCCTCTGAGTAAATAATTTCCTCTTTACACGTAACCTAAACCTCCTCTCTTTTACTTAAAAACTGTTCCCCCTTGTCCTAAGCACTCAGCTTTGATGGGTTAGAGTCAGTCTCTCAGGCTCCAGTCCTCAGAGATGTTTAAGACTCTAATTTGCATCTTCTCAGATAGAAATCTGGAGAGTATTCACTTGCGGGATGATAGTGGGTTGTATTAAATCCGAGCTTCAACTAGTAGTCCAGAGACAGAGAACAGTCTCCAATTTTAGCTGGCAACGAGTCAGGCTCCTAGTAATTGATTATACATGCACACACACTCATATGCATGCGTGCACACACATCCACAAACACATTGGAATAACAACCTTACTGTGTCATTCCGCATGTGTCTGGAATAACACCAGTGGAGGCAGCACTGTCACTGCACTGTGTCCGTGGCAGTGTCTGGGGCTTTAGGATCCTGCAGCAGTGAGGGTCCCATCAGGGGCAAAGCTGACCTCCATGGGTTCCACCCTGCACACACTGCTGGGCAGCCATCCCAGCTATTCCACATTTGCTCTGCTGATAGTCATGAAGCGTTTTACATGCGTGCAGCACGAGACACGTGGAGAAGGCCTGATGGCATTTCAGGGACCGGAGAGTCGGACCCTGAGCTTTTAGTGTGCCATGAAGACGTGAGCAGGCAAACCACGTCCTGCTGCCTGGGAGCAGCAGGATGCTTCAGCCCCGCATGCACAGCCCCCTCTCTCCTTCCCTGCCCACCAAGGCCCAGCTAATTCAGGACAGCTCCGTGGTACGCATGTGGGGAAGAAAAAGAGTGAGAAAAAAATTAAATGAAGTGAGATTTTAAACTCTCTACGCCAAATAAAAAGGGGCATGACTTTTTAATTGAAAAAATAAATAAATAAAGGTTAAGAGAAACACACAGCTGGAGAAAAGGCAGAAAAATACCAATTACCTTTCTTTTTGATTGCTTGGATCAAAGATCAGTCATTCTTTTTCATATAATGTTTTGTATCCAGCTAAGGTGTGTATCTATCAGCTCTGAAAAAGATTTGCAAAACCATTTTTGAGAAAAAAAAGTAACCTTTGACCTACGTTGCAAGGCCAAATGCTAGCGTTCAGCTACTCTTTCATTTTGTATTTTAATTTATTAAAAGGACATTTCAGCATATACAATACATAAGGCAGAACTTAACCGCTGACCTTTCTGTTTGCTCAGATCCAGCACGAGGTTTTACCTTTTTCCCCTCTTTTCTCAACTGATATTATCCAAAAATAAGTATGCCAAAAAATACAGACCTGCACTGATCACAATACAGAAGAGCAATGCTGGCCGTTTGGCCCGAGGCCCCAGGAGTGCAGGAGGTCGGAGTGTCTCCTAAGCCAAGTCAGAGAGCAGTCGCTGCCTTTGGCACAACTCACTGATGGGATCATCCTCGTGGCCAAATAAAACGTGACACGTTTATGCCAGACCAAAAGTCAGTCCCTTCTTTCAAATAAGAGATCTAAGGCTGTGTAAATTACACCTTGCTTTGATTGGAAAGAGCAGGAAAGATATGCCTAAAGAAAGGAAAGTTATGGTCTTTCCTTCAAACACAAATAAAAGTGATTTTTCTTCTCATCAAATGGCAACATTAAAAATTCTGATGCTTTTTTCTGTCTAGTCTTTTTAGATTTAAATTTATCATGAAAGCATTTGGCACTTCCTCCAAAACCATGTGGAAATTAAAAAAATATTCCAATAATGAGGAGGAAAAAGTACATGTTAAGAAGTAAGCTAGCCTTGAGTACAGGTCTCAGATGTGTCTTTGCTGCTGGATTTCAGGTGACTATATATAGAAGAGGAATATTTTAGTTGGCTCCCTCAGACTGTGCAGCCACGTATCAGACGCTGGAACCTCTACGCAGTACACAGCCTATTTTATACTCTGTGTGCTGGAAAATCAGCCTCTGCACATGCAAGCAGAGCAACTAATTGACTGGTAAATACAAACTTAGGTGTATCAGGCACAAGGAGCCCAAATCCTACAAACTGGGGAAAAATAGGAGGGTGGGGAGGTGTCTTCATAAATCAATAGCAATGAAAGGCTTTTTCTGGAAAACTGGAACGTGGAACTGCCCAGGGGTGCTCAGCTGTGAGGTTTAACCTTCATTACATGTCTGCCACTCTAACGATTTTCATTCCTTATTAAAATAATGTCAGTAGAAGCATCCTGGAACTTTTCTGTCCTGTTTGCAATCTGTGATATCTGTGTAAACTATTAACTGCTTTAGCACCATCTGGTTCAACAGCAATCGTGCCATCTCTGTTACTAATGAAGATGGAAGAAGTTGGAAGAAGTTACTGATACCAAACTAGGAGGGCTCCAAATTGATTTGAGTCCTATGATGGATGCATGCTATAAGAGTTTCAATAGACTCAAAACTCACTGGCATCCTTCCATGAATTTAACATCATAATATAGATATCTGATGAAAAACAGGATCTAAATAAAATACATACTTTTGGCTGAAGCCTGTCTGAACTGAAATCAACAGCTAAACTCTCTGTGATTTGCAGGATCTAGATCACACTCACAACATTAAAAAATCCTTCCCTTATATTTCAGTGTGGTTCCAGAGTGAGATGCTGTAGTGGAAATGCTGAGTCACAGCCTGAAGCAGTGATGGAGCACCTGGAGGGAAGGCAGGGCCAGCCCAGGGCAGCTCAGCTGCACGCAATGTACTGAGTGATGGAAGGGCTGGAGCCAGGATCCACCCCTTGCCAGCCCTCATTTAAGGGTTGGCAGTGGAGGTGAGGGGATCTCCCAGGAAATCCCTGTGTACTGGAGGCCTTCAAAAGGTAAGCAGTTTTTTTTCCTTTGTTTCTGTATCCAGAGCTGCTGTATTTGGGCTTGTTCTCATTTGCTGAAGCCAAGGGTTGTGCCACTCTGCTATTATTGCTTTGCTTTTCACGTTATAGCATTACTGATGCAAAAAGATCAGTATCTATGATACCCAAAATCTTTAACAGGAAGTTGGGTGCGTCTGCAGCAGAAGAGCATTTAGCATTTCTGCTAAAAATAACCACCCAGTGTCCTAAATGCACTGTACACCAGAAGTATCAAGAAGGAAATACTCAGTGCACAGATCTGTCTTGGCACCACCCCAGAGATCTTACAGATCTTGAGTGCTTTCACTGTACAGTTTCTTTTCCAGAAAAGATCAAAAGCCAATTTCTATGCTATGTCTGTGTTAAAACTGAGCAAAAAGCATGACTTAGTGGTTAGTACGTGGTGGGACAGCAGGATTTCACTGCTGGAAGCACTGCAGTGCCCCCACCTTGCTGTAGGGCCCTGGTCATGCCCAGCATACCCCCAGAGGATCAGATCTAGTCCAGGTCTACTTGAGGCTGAAGAATGCAAGAAGACTGTGAAGGTCACACTTAGAACTTAAACACAACATGCCTAGCTAATAGAAAAAAGAGCTTGAAGTGATGATGACCTGCCAGAATGAGCCTACACTGAGAGTGTGGATATAACAGAGTGTTAAAGGGGTGTTTTAAAGCCCTTAGGTAGCTTGAATCCCAATCTACAAAAGGCATGAGGTGCTGAGCTCCCTGAACATCCTAATAGGCACCAGAGTCAGACACCAACATAACATCTTTAAACCCATAATCAAGGTTGGAGCACTCTAAAAACCTTGAGTATTTCAAAGAATGATAGAACCATAGAATGGTTTGGGTTGGAAAGGGCCTTAAGACCATCTAATTTCACCTCCCTGCTATAGGCAGGGACACCTCCCTCTAGACCAGGTTACTCACAGACCAGGCTGGATTTCTATTAGCATGATCAAAGTTGAACCAACCAAGAGCACTTGAAAAATCATGATGTATTCTGACTTATTTTATGACACCCAAAGCCAGCAGACTGAGGAGCAGCCCTACCCTGGGGATGCTGTGTCCTGAATACGCTGAGTACCGCTGGGAGGAGCAGGCAGCCACCCCAGGAGCACAGGCAGCCCGAGAAGTCCTTTCAGACAGACATCCCTCTGCATTTGTTTATTCACACACAATCCTTGGGCAGAAATTGTTACTCTGCAAACTGCTCCCTCCAGGAAACTTTTCCTCAGCAATACAAAGCAAAGGGGGGTGCATGGGTGGAGGTAATGGGAAACCCATGCTGCTCTCCCTGTGCCACATGCCATGCATTGCACTGTAGGGTTCCTGTCCTGTTCTGCCATGCTTCACTTCAGCTTGTTACACAAATGATTACAATCTTGCAAATCAGTAATAAATTGCACCTGAACCTGTAAGTCATCAGTAAAAAACTACTATACTTCCATGGCCAAAGGACTTTCACACAATTAATCAGTAAGGAGAGAACTGGGTGTTAACAGGTTGTTGAATTCCCTGCTAGACCAGTTTATGGAGACCCCCATAATAAAGGGGCTGAAACCAGAAGTGCAGGAAGTGCACAAATGAGACACTGTCCTGGAGAACAGGTGCCAGACATCGTGTTATGGTGAGCTGAAGGAAGGGACTGTAAGGTTCATCAGGTGCCATGCAGGTTTCTGCTGTTTAATTCAATGGAATCCCTGTGCCAATCTATAGAAACCATGGAGCTGAGCTTCCTGGGCACTGTCTCCAGGGAGCAGGTTGTGTGATATTTGGAGGACATAGGCACACAATGCCCTGGCTTTCTCATTCTGTGACTCACTGTGGACTGGAGCTGCAAGAGAAAGAACTAATCGTGCTCCCAAGTGTGATTTCCTGTTTGCTTGATGGATTTCAGTACCCAAATATCATTGTTTTTAATCTGAAGGTAGTAAGATAGGTGCAAACCCTGTCTATGTTACAGAGGAAGAATCTGTACAGCTGCCTATGAGAAAAGTATACCTCCAGGTATTAAATTTGCTAAGAGGATGATAGATAATCTATTTAGTTACTAGGTCAAGCCTTTGTCTGCTCAGTCACTAAGTAAAGCACCACGGGGCTGCAGCAGGGCCTGACAGCTTTGTGCAGCTCTTCTGTGTCAGCAGCCACTTTGGGAAGCGTACCTTGATAGTGGAAAACTAGATCAGCCTGGGTGTGATGAGGAACTCCAGGCCACCGTGGGTTTGGTTTGTAGTAGCTTTCCATAACAAAGTCTTTTTTTAACTGACTTTCTTTCTGCTCACATATATTTAGATATGACTTTCATTCTGCAGTACTCCAATGCCAGAGAGTTTTGGCTGAAATCGTAAGGGAAGGACACGTGTTTGAGTCATGCAGTTGGCTCTCTCAGTTGATAGTAACTTACTGAGAGAAGATGAAGTTTGTATTTAGTTAATGTGCAATGAGACCAAGCAAAGTATTCCAAGCAGAAGACTCGCATCATAAATAAATATACAAAAACTGGTACCAGAAGGAGATGAAGTTCATTTTCTTAAACCATACTAGTTGGCTAGTGAATACAGAAATACTACACTGATGGACTGAGCCTTAAGAAATACCAGGCAGCAGTCTCTGCTTGCTCACTCCTACCTCCTGAGCTCACTCTGGCTGCTGCGAAGCTCCAGGCTGAGCTGTGCTCACATCTATTCTGTCTGTGCACGCTGGAGCTCGTGAATTTGCTACATAACTGCTGAGGAAAGCAGTGCCACTTGGTACTAACATACATTTCTTCTAGATTAAAAACAGCAAAACCAAAGGAGCTTGGTGATGAATTTTTCCTACGGCAGCTCGCGCCTCATGGTCTGAACGCTAATGAAATCTTAACAGATACCACAGTGCCTCTAAATAGTAACTGCTGGCAGGAAGGGCCTGCGAGCAATAGCACTGCTTATTCACATGTCACTTTGCAGTTTCATCATTCTCCTGGATTTAACCTATTTACTGAGAGGTGATGTGAGTCATTCAGTGAAATGTTTAAAAAACAGAGAAAAAAAGAATGGATGGGAGAAAGCTGTATTTTTATTTTTAAACAGGAAATAAAAGGGGAGTAGGAACCAAAGAACAGTTTCAGCATGGTCAGGATTAGCTGAAAGTAACAGGAATAGGCAGTGCTGCTGCTTTTCATATT